GTGGGATTCTCCGATTTAAAATAAGCCAAGCTGATAGACAGCTTAAGCATCTAAATGAAATGATTCACCTGCTAAAAGATATTGAGCTTTTTGGGTAACTTGAGGTCATGTTCTTAAACTTTTGTCCGGCACTGTAATATTGCTGGGAATATTGAGGGAATATTGCTCACTTTTGGTGTCAAAATGAAGATAAAGAGCTAATAAAGCGGAACTATTCCCTCAAATTTCTCCATTTTGTAATATCATTGAGTTATAGGCTTCAAAAGAGAGAGAGAGAGAGAGCCTGTGTTTCTCTGTTTTCACTAAAACACGATTTTTTGAAAAAAATCTGTCAGATCAATTTGAAATCAACGCAGAAAGTGTCAGAAAACACATTTTTCCATGTCAGAAAACATATCTTTCATCAAAGTTCATCAGAAAACGCATTTCGCGCCGATTTGCAATAGCCAAATAGTCAAATAGCCTAATAAAACCAACAAGGAGATGAGCTTAAAGTGAAATTGAAAATGAAAATGAAAATGAAATGAAACTCAAAGTGAAATTCAGCCTCATCCCCAATTTTTTTTCAATTTGTGCGCCTTAAATTTGTGATTTTTTTTTATTAGCCATTAGAAAAGCTCTATAAGAATTAGTCTCTATATGAAAACCTTATGCTAAAACCTTAAATTCATCATTTTCAAACGACCCCAATAAAATTTTTGATGTTTTTTGTGCTTATGGGGAATCTTTTTGACTCTCTAGGGTTGGAAGGGCGAAATTTGTCGTCAATAGCTCAAAAGATGGGTCTTTTCGCCCGAAAATTGAGGGTTTTTGAGGGATTGTTGAGCATTTGTGAGCGAGAATCATTTGTGGAGAAAAGAAAAAAGGAAATGGCCGGGGAAATTCATGACAATGCTGGTGAAACGACTTTGATGAAACGACTTGTGAAGAAAAGGCCAATTGAAAGGCCAATTGACTTTAACCTGATTGTCGGGAGAACGATTGAAAAGGACATGAAAAAGACGCAAAATTTCGCCGATTATTCTATTGAAAAAAAAAAAAACTTAGTGTATTGTTTGTGAAATCGGTTTTCTTTAAGTGAGGGTGGAAATCATGGGAAATCTGGTTTTTAGGAATTGAAAAGATCAACGATTTGAACGTCATGGTATAAAAAAGTACAAGAAAAGCGCACAAAATAGCGCTTAATTGAACAAAATGCTTTGCGAAGTCATCAGTGAACTTACCCTTAAAATACCGGCCGTTTATAAGGCGACCGTATATAAGGCGACCTTGTATAAGGCGACCGTATATAAGGCGACCGTATATAAGGCGACCTTGTATAAGGCGACCTTGTATAAGGCGACCTTGTATAAGGCGACCTTGTATAAGGCGACCTTGTATAAGGCGACCGTATATAAGGCGACCGTATATAAGGCGACCGTATATAAGGCGACCGTATATAAGGCGACCTTGTATAAGGCGACCGTATATAAGGCGACCTTGTATAAGGCGACCTTGTATAAGGCGACCGTATATAAGGCGGCCTTGTATAAGGCGACCGTATATAAGGCGACCGTATATAAGGCGACCTTGTATAAGGCGACCGTATATAAGGCGGCCTTGTATAAGGCGACCGTATATAAGGCGACCGTATATAAGGCGACCTTGTATAAGGCGACCGTATATAAGGCGACCTTGTATAAGGCGACCGTATATAAGGCGACCGTATATAAGGCGGCCTTGTATAAGGCGACCTTGTATAAGGCGACCGTATATAAGGCGGCCTTGTATAAGGCGACCTTGTATAAGGCGCCCGTATATAAGGCGACCTTGTATAAGGCGGCCGTATATAAGGCGCAAAATTAGAATTTCGATACTGTGGCTAAAATATGAGAAAAGCTCGCCAGTATATCATCTCACAAAGTTTGCTCGTTGTTAGAAACATACGCTTTATGGTGTACGCAACTTTTTCTTTGTCGCAACAAAGAACAAGAATGAAGAAGCAAGAAAAGGGCAAAACTTTGAATATAGATAGATAGAATATAGAATATAGATAAAATCTAAAATTCTATCACAAAAAGTTGCTATCTTTTTGCTAAAGTTTTCGTGAAAGCGAGACCACCAGGTATTTGAAGAAAAAGACTTGAAAGCTTGAGACAAATGTTTCGAGTCATTGCGAAAAAGTGCGAATTCTGGAGCTCCCATGGGTGAAATAAGGCGTTCCCCAGAAGGTTTGTCATCATAATTCCCAAGTTCTTGAGACCAGTTCCCCCCGCCCCGCTTTTTCTTGTTTTATGGAAGTGTTCAGTTGAGGAGGTCCCAAGAGTCTCAAAGGAGGGGGAAAACCCTCCTCTAGACCCTTCTTACACTATTTATTATCTCTCAAACATGTCATCTTTTAGTCTCTCGCAGAAAAAAAAGTGTGAATGAAGGGAGTAAACGGATGTGAATGGAAATGGGACTTTTGCTATGTAAATTCTCAGTGAATCTCACAAACTATGCTGAGATTGCGAGCTATCTGACTGCTGAGATAAGATTTGCAGTTGATTTCTTTTCGATTAGTCAGAGTTTTTATGTAAATTTGTATTTTAGATTCATAACCACACTTGTGAGCTGATATTTTGAAAGTATTGTCTCATTTTTGCGTCACAATTTGCTTTCTATAGATCTTTATAGAACTATAGAGATCTATAGAGATCTATTGATTCTTCTTCATAATTCTCAGTCATTTTCTTTTTCATGCAATGGTCGTAATAGATTTTTAGAGTTAGAATATAGAGACATGTCAGGAATGGCAGGAATGGCAGGAATGTCAGGAATGGCAGGAGTGTCAGGAATGGCGGGAATGGCAGGAATGTCAGGAGGAATGGAATGTCAGGAGGAATGGCATATGATCTAATTTAGGGTTGCTTCCAAAAGTATAGAAAAATAACAGTAAAGACAACAATATTTTGTGATGCTATTTCAGTGGTCAATCCTAGTATACTAGAGCAAGCAAATCCCAATATCAACTGGTGTGTTGGGCTTTCAGAGATTTAGAAAGAAAACGTTGAAAAAAAAGGGTTAGGACTTTCTTGCCAACTTAACACAGGGTGTTCAATATTTATGGGGACCAGTAAACATTTCGAGTGCTCCCCCCCATCTGTTCCCCAGGTGTCCCCCTAAGTGTCCCCCTAAGTGTCCCCCTATGAAGAAAATCGTCAAAAATCAACTAGTAACTTGACTAGATCAGACTAATCAACTAGATCAACTAGTACTCATTCAAGAGCTGAGTAAAATGAGTTGTATATCTTCAATCGGGAAATTTTTAATGGACAAATGTAGCCAAGATTAAGGCCTTCAAGATCTTAAATAACAAGATTAGCGTTAAGAGAGCTAATCTACCAAAAAGAAGCCGCCGTAAATCCTGGACAGCCTGTAAATTTGCAACAGTTACATTAGTTAGCTTTTGAAGATTAGTAAAAGCTTTTTCATCATCGCATTTGCTGAACAAGCCACACACAAAAGAATAAAGAGGAATGAGAGAAAAAAGTTCAATTAAAATAACATTTGAATCTGAGAATGAGAAGCTAATAAATAATAAAGCTTTGTGCAATCAACAGCAATACTTTAGATCAATTTCATTTCAATTTTCAAACAGAAATCAATGTGTTTTCTCATGTCACTATCAAATTGTCATGTCACTATCAAACTGTGTCAAGAGAAATCTCTATCAACCACCCACTCGTTCTTTTTTTTGACGACTCTTTGATAGCTTTATAAAAAAAGCTAATTTAAAAAGCTAATTCAAAAAGTTAGTTTTTGAAAACTACAGGGCTTTCGAATAGCTTTTCGATTTTCTTTTCTAATTGTTGGGTTCAAGTGGTTATTTTTTTGGTTTCAAAATTGGTAACTTTCAAAAAAAGATAATTTATTAAATAAAAAAGCAGCCAACAAATAAATTAACTGTAAAAAAGCAAGAAATTATAAAAAATCAACAAAGAAAGATTGATAATTCTGTTTGCGAGAAAGATTATCGAGTTGATGAAAGAAAAGCATTTTCTCAGAGGGTTAATAACTTCAAATTCAATTGGAATTCAAAAACAATCTAGTAAAAGTACTAAAAGTTTCAGTTAATATTATGATTTTCCTCTTGACCGATGTTTTTTCTAAAAACTGTATTGTATTGGAGAACTACTGTAAGCTTGGAGAACCACTGTAAGCTTGGGGAGCCATTGTAAGCTTGGAGAACTACTGTAAGCTTGGAGAACCACTGTAAGCTTGGAGAACTAATGTAATCTGTGGGAACCATTGTAAGCTTGGAGAACTACTGTAATCTGTATTGCATTGGAGAACTCATGTAGATCAGACTAATCAACTAGATCAACTAGTACTCATTCAAGGGCTTGTAAAATGAGTTGTATATCTTCAATCGGAAAACTTTTACTAGAAAAATGTAGCCAAGATTAAGGGCTTCAATATTTTATATAACACTTAACATTAGAATTGAACTTGGGAACTAATCTACTAAAAAGAAGTCGCCGTAAATACTGAACACCTTGTACATTTGATCAGCCCATTTTTCGAATCATTGACTGAGGCTTATTTCTCATAGAATGATATCAAAATTGAGCTAATTAAATAAAGCTGAGGGTTTACTGTAGTTTTCTAAAACCGATGCTTTCTAGGAAATCATTAGCAAAGAGAAATGGACTCTAGTTTGATTTCTGGCAAACACAATTCTTCACTTTTCTTTTATTTATAGATTTCTACGACAAAATAAGTAAAGATTTGTAGAAGTCAGAAAGAAAATTGAAAGAAAATGACAATTTTTAAGCTTAACAGTCAATTCACTTTACGATTTTTCACCAAATGAATCACCGGTAACAAGAACAGGTGAAAATTGCATCATAAGACTGAAAATAAAGGAGATCACGGGGTGATAGCTCATAAAAAGTTATCGAAGAGCAATGATACAATGCTAAATTGAATAATTTGATACAATTTCAATAAGCAACGATTGAATGAAAGATTTCTAATCATTTCTTTGTTTTCTTTGTCGGTGTCCTTGGTGAAAGGGGTACATCTTTTGGAGCAGGACTACCCGATCTTCTCCCGCCCATCACCGAAACGGATTTGATCGGCGTTCTCTGAAAGTTTATCGCAATTTAGACAAGATTTTAGCCAAGAGCCAAGAGCCAAGCCAAGGCCAATCCTAAGCCTTAGCCAAGATCTCTTTATCATCGAAAAAGTTTGTTTATATTGTTTAGAATGGAGGAAATGATTGGCGCTACTGGTTCTCGTGGCCCAACCAGCTCTAGGTACTTCGACAAGACGCTGCCGGACTTCTCTGAAAGTTTATCGCAATTTAGCCAAGATTTTAGCCAAGAGCCATTTAGCCAAGATATCTTTATTATCTAAAAAGTTTCTTTATATTGTTTAGAATGAAGGAAATGATTGGCGCTTGCTTGTTCTCGTGGCCCGACCAGCTCTAGGTACTTCGACAAGAGATGACCGGCTAGGCGGGAAGGTATTTGCTTCAGAATACCGTCAAAAGTTGGAAAAATTGGTTTACTAAGTTTATTAGCTTAAATCAAAAGTCAAAATTTGTGTTTTTCTACATGATAGCATCATCAAGTAAGCCTGGATAGCATTTCAAGGCCAGCAATTAGACATGTGCATTTTCTGTTCGTTCAGATGTCCGGTCAGATTTGGTGTACAGCAGAAATTCACACAAAACTTCGCCAACATCATTTCCAAGATCGATAACAAAGAGGGAAGGCGGGGAGGGGTAAGTTTTTTGGCCAGCTTGCAGCTCACTTTTAAGCACCTTAAACTTGTCAGATCTGAAAGTTTTAAAAGGATTTAGATAGCTTAGAACGTCAGCTTTCAGAAACTATTTGTTTTATCAAAGTTATTAACAAAAAAACTATTTAAAATCGGGCTGCAAGTTGACCAAAAAAATTACCCCCTCCCCCTCCCCCGTTATCCATAAAGAACCACGGCCGCGATTCTCACACCGCCTTTAAAGGGCTTAAGACTTAAGACGTGAATTTCCGTTGTACACCTAACAAAGAGTGGCCGAAAATGCACAATAATGAAGTGTTTTCTTCCAAATATAATAGTTTGGTCAATAAATATTTCGACTTTATCAACTTATTTCCTGTTTTAAACGTTAAATAGCAAAAACATTTAGTAAATATCATTTGTAAACTCTTTGTGATTCGCTTTTTGTGGTGATTTTAAGCTAGTTTTTGGCTAGAAGTCGTTTCGGTGAACAGTTTTGAAATTACTAAACTAAAACATTTCTTATTGTTATCAATTTCTGAATTTTCAATTCTCTTATGACTCGTTTTGTAGACGCTAACATGTTAAAAACCATTTTGGCCAACAAGTTAGAGCCAGAACTAGTAGAACTAGTAAAACACCAGAGACACTACCGTAAATACTGTAATAGTACCCCACCCGCATAATGACGGTGCGGGGCGTTGCGTAGTCTAGCTTTGAACGCGTTTTTCTTGACACTGGTTTAAGCTACAATGCGCGCAAAGGTATCAAAAAATAGCCCTGAATTTCAGCTATTTTTTGATACCAAAGACGCTTTTTTTGATATCAAAGATAATGACGGTGCGGGGTGTTGCGTAGTCTAGCTTTGAACGCGTTTTTCTTGACACTGGTTTAAGCTACAATGCGCGCAAAGGTATCAAAAAATAGCCCTGAATTTCAGCTATTTTTTGATACCAAAGACGCATTTTTTGAAAGTACGGGCGCTTTGAAAAAAATGGAATACTAAAAGACTTTTGCGACTACGCGACTGTACGAGGGTGGCGGGGTACTATTACAGTATTTACGGTAAGCACTAATCTAAACCTTAGATACACTAACTTCAGGATAAAGTTTTTCGCCAACAAGTTAGAGCCAGAACTAGCCAAACTAGTAAAACACCAGAACACACTAGTAGAACAAATGCAATTTTAGTGAAGGCATTCTTTTTATGATTGTGAGTGATTTTGTTAAATTAATCAATAATCAATCAATCAATAATATTTAAAATTTATTAGATTTAACTGAAAAACGTTTAGCATCAGATAAAGAAAAGGAAAAAAAACAAAAAAAAACACATTTTTACAAATAGATTTCGAAATGAAATGAAAATCACCGCTGAGATGACTGTGAATAAATTAATTAATTAAAAATAATTAAAAAAATCAAAGAACTGAAAGAAATCTCAAAGAAAACCCGTTATTTATAGAAATAGAAAAATAAATAATGATCATTTTGGGAAGTGGGACAAATGCGACCTTTTTTTTGCGCACCCGGACATTTGCGCACCTTTTTTTCCGCACTTAGCCCATTAGCGCACCTTTTTTCGCGTTTCAAAAAAAGCTCTAGAAAGCTAAAAAGCTAAAAAAGCTAATATTAACCAATTTCTATTCCAAAAGTTGTTTTTCTAGGTAATTTTAGGGCGTAGAATCGAAATTTTGACATATTAGAGCTTGTGAAAACAAACGGACGGAGTTATAAAAAGAGAAAAATCGACAATTTTCTGTAATTTGTAATTTGTAATTTGATCTAGCCGTTTTGTCTTTCAAATTGGTTCCACACGCTCTGATATATCAAAATTTCGATTCTACGCCTTAAAATTACCTAGAAAAACAACATTTGGAATAGAAATTGGTTAATATTAGCTTTTTTAGCTTTTTAGCTTTTTAGAGCTTTTTTTAGAAACGCGAAAAAAGGTGCGCTAATGGGCAAGGTGCGGAAAAAAAGGTGCGCAAATGTCCGGGTGCGCAAAAAAAAAGGTGCGCATTTGTCCCACTCCCATCATTTTGAGCGAAAATTCTCTATAAGCTGGAAGCAAATGGTTTTGGCAATATTTTTCTTAAAATTTTCAAACCCTAAAAGTTAAAAGAAAATTGGCACATAGAAGTCATGATTAGAAAGATTTGAATTTGATATTGAAAGGTTTTTCTTTTTGAGTAAAACATTTTGGAGCAATAAAAGTTAGTGATTTGTGAATGAATAGGCAAATGTTTGAGGGGAAAAGAAAAGCAAGAGGCTTTTCGGGGAAATGGAGTCAAAAGAACTCGAGCTTGCACTGTGTAAGGAAGAAGCGAGAGAGTTGCCAATACAACAAAGATTAACACACTCATTCAACTTGTCATTTGTAACCAACAAAGCTTCGAAATCAAAACCAGGAGGTCATATGTGAAGGTCAAGAGCCAGACCAGAACCAGGGGCAGGCCTGGGTTTGGTCAAAACTAGAGGAATATGATCAGGTACAGCTCAAACCTTAAACCTAATCAGCTACCAGATTAAAGCTTAAGCAGGTCTAGATAAGGCTTTGTTCAAATCAGGGCCAGGCCAAAACCAGGATCAGGCCAGAACCAGGATCAGGCCAGAACCAGGATCAGGCCAGAACCAGAGTCAGACCAGAACCAGAGTCAGTCCAGAACCAGAGTCAGGTCAGAACCAGGATCAGGCCAGAACCAGGATCAGGCCAGAACCAGGGACCTTGAATTATTATGGCCAGAACCATAATAATTCAAGCACAGCTCAGGATTTGCCAATGACCGATTCATAACCAAACTAAAGTTGCATGTAGTCTATGGATTTCTTTGAAACATTTTTGCATTTTATTTTGTTATCACTACCTCTAGACTCAAATTGAAAAAGAATAGTTCATTAATTTCCTGATTAAAAAGAATAGATCATAGATATATTATTGATTAGCGAGTACCGCATGGGCGGGCATTCCTTGTTGTCGATAATCGGCAACGAGTTGATTGAAATGACGATCGAGAAGTTGACGAGCTGCATGATCTTGTGGAGGCATTTGTAGAGATAACGCGAGAGCTTGAGCATCAAATGTGTCATCCAGCGAGATTAGAGCGCCGTGAACACCGGAATCCTAAAGTGTTTTTGGGTTAAGCGACCTTTTTAACTTGACAAGTTACAAGCTTTTTAACCTAAACAAGTTACAAGCTTTCAAAGATTCAAAGCCTGAGCAACTAGGCGATTGGAATTGCTTTCCTTTGGTTTTTGTTTGAATTCACCTTGAGATTTCCAGCGTATGCACCAAGGCCGATTTCCTCGACCCATCGCGCGACTCGATCATTTGACCAGACAAGTAGATCTGAAATATCACAATGGATTGAGTTCTGCTTGGTTGGCGCCTTTGAACAGCTTTTGAAGCCTTTGAATTGAACATGAACTTAGAGCCTAACCAGAGGCTAGATAACTGACTATTAGAATTGGTGATACCTCTATTAACATTCTCCGTCGCCCTTCTCCTCTCCATCAATGTCTTCTTATCATAGTTGAGCTTTTTCAAGCACATAATCCCGTATTGGAGAGAAGCCTTGTGAAAAGAATCATGCATTTTGAGATGAGTTCTCAAATCTCTTTTTGTGAGATGTTCTAACATTCGAGCGTCCAGTAAACACTCCATGAAGGCTGATCTAAAAGAATTATTTTAGTTTTGGCTATGATAATGAATCAATTTCAAGTAACAATACCTATAATGAGCTAATCCCAAACTCGGTAGCCAATCGTTTCCAACCCATTCATGATTCATATCACCGAATGCCAGCGATGTTCGAGCGGATCTTGGAGCTGACGGAGAAGTCAATGAGACCATTTCCTAGAGTTAAGCTTATTGAAAAGTTGGTGAAAGTAAAAGTAAAGCCACTCATTCACTCACCTGGATCGCCAATCTCAATTTCAATCGATGTAATGGATTGGAGATGCCGATCTCTCGTTGAATTTCTTGATCGGATAAAGCGCTCATGATCGCGCCAGATTTCACGTTGGCTCGACAAGCAGCAACGTACCTAAAGATTGGTAATAAATGTTCATGTTTTGATTCTTATGCCTTCTAATTCGTATGCCTTCTAATTCGTATGCCTTCTAATTCTTATGCCTTCTAAATCAAACAAAACAGATCAAAAGCTAAGATTGAACTCAATGATAAGCGCTTGATTTGTAGAAAACTAACCATGGTGGCATTGCCACCCATAACTCGAGCCAGGCGACAACCGTTGGACCGTTCCACAAAGCGAATGGCGTTCTGGCTTTCATTGCCTAAATATAACAAATTTTAAATCTCCTTTTACATTTAGGAATAAAAAACAAGTTATTCAATAAAACAAGCTATTTAATAAAACAAGTTATTCAATAAATTTCTACCTCTTCCAACAATTCATGCTTCTTTTTATTCCGTCGATCCAAATCTCCATTCGATCTCCCGGCCAGCTCAGCTGATGACACCTCCGAGTCAGAGAAAGCACCCGTTTCTCTACTAAAAACTTTTTATACCAAACTACATTGTACATAAAAATTTTACTCATCGTTTTCCACTCACCCATATGTTGTACTTTGGGTTTTGCCCTTTTTGTTGCCAAAGAATCGACCGAGGGTTTTCAAGCCAGAAGAACTTGACGAGCGCTTTTTCTTCGATAACCCTTCGGTGCTCGAAGCCACCGAAGAAGCGGGAGACATACGCTCAATTGGTTCATCAAAACGATTCTAGAAAAAAAGGACAATTACCGTATTTTCCCGAAGCTTTGCCTAAATTGGTTGAAATCTCGAGAACCGCTTATCAGAACCTATCGATTTGGGGTCGGAAAATGGAGCTAGACGATGAGATCTTGTGGGGGATTAGAGGGTTGAGCTTCGGCAAAAGCTTGGAAACCGTAAAATAGTCATTAACTCGGCTCGGCCGGGTGCACTACTATTAGGAAAAATGTGCTTTTTTGCCTTAAGTTACTTAGATGAATGAAAAGTTGGCTTGGCTAAGGCTACAGAAAAAAAAACAAAAAAACGTAGACTAGGGAAAGCTATGTAAATGTAAATTTCTCTTTGTATGTATAAAATGAAATTCGGCCGAGACGCACTACTTGGACGGCTATTTTCACACGGGAACCAGGTGACCGTGTGGCCTAACGGATAAGGCGTCGGACTTCGGATCCGAAGATTGCAGGTTCGAATCCTGTCACGGTCGAAATGTTTTGCAAATTATTTGAAACTTTTGTCTTTTACAAAGCCGCTATTGTTATTAGGATTTAAATTGTATTCAGAACATTTAGATTTAGCATTGTTTTTAAACTATCAGCTTACCTGCATATGATTTGGTGGGATTCCGTGCAATCTCATCTCGTCTCTCCTCCTCATTCCGTATCTTCCATCATCTAGCATCGAGTCATCCATCGGTTGATGTCGATAATAATCCATCTCATCTCTCATTGCAGATGTTGAAGCATTAGCGGGTAACTGAAACAACCCGATTATATAGCTATTAGACGGCATTTACCGTATTGTACTTATGAATGAGATCATGGTGTTGTGGACTCCCGCGAGGACTGTTCCTGCCCATTTGCTCGTCGTAATAGTATCCGCCTCTTGCCTCAAGTTGCATCTCGGCTCGCTCAGCCTCGTTTTTCTCTTGTTGGATCATTCTAAATACCGTATTTCTAGATTCTAGACGCCAAGATGTCAACAAACCGAATCTCGGAGTTGATAGCATCAAGCCGCTCTTGAAGCATCGAAGCAAGAACATGGGATTCAGTAGGCCCACCCTGAAGATTAAAGTTTAAAGATGAAAACGGATGAGTTACACAGCATTTTGAAATGTTTATAACTAAGCAGTCACATTAGTAAATGACTTTTCAAACAAAGATAAACTTACCGGATGAGTTTGAATGAAATCCACGGGCGGTCCTCCCATTGGAGTGGGCAAACCCGAGCGATGACCGAGCTCGACCAACGATGGAGATGAGGAGAAAGCTTGTTGAACGTTGGCCAACACGTGCGCTTGCTGTAGCCGATCCCATTCTTGCTCATTCAGCGTTTGGATTTTGTTTGGATCATCCTGGAAACGGATTTGTTTACTGATTGCTCAATTGCTTGCTAAAGTAGCCCAGCTTGTCACCGCCGTTCACCAGATACCAGAGAAGTTATAGAATCGACTAAGCTGATCAAAATGCCGCAAAAATTAGCTGCCCATACTCATAGATATTTTGCATAGAAGTTTTGAACATCTCGCTTAAAAGGTTTTTCTTGGAAGACGTAAATTTGAGCTGGTGGCCTAGCGGATCAGGTGCTTATAGACAAAGCGAGCTCTGCATTTCTTGTTCGACTTCCAGCGGCGCTGCATTTCTTGTTCGACTCCCAGCAGCGCTGCATTTCTTGTTCGACTCCTAGCAGCGCTGCATTTCTTGTTCGACTTCCAGCAGCGCTGCATTTCTTGTTCGACTCCTAGCACCGCTGCATTTCTTGTTCGACTTCCAGCAGCGCTGCATTTCTTGTTCGACTCCTAGCAGCGCTGCATTTCTTGTTCGACTTCCAGCAGCGCTGCATTTCTTGCTCGTTCGAGTCCTCGCCTCGCAATTCCTTTGTTTTGTTTGATTTTAACGAAACTACTAAAAATATATTTTGTTTCTTTTCATTTCGCCTTCTATATTTCAATAAATTAACCAATAATTCAAAGAAAATGAACCTACTCAAATTCCAATTTGTAACATAAAAAATCGAAAATCAGATTTGGGGTTTTCTTTACCTAGTTTACCTGCTCAAATTTCTATTTGTTAAAAAAATATTCTTAAGGACAGATTTTAATACTACAAGAGCTAGAGGAAAATTTAAAAAACCTTATTTTGATAATCAAAAAGTTCGATTTCAATTTCAAATTCAAAAAGTTCAAAACGCACCAAATTTCAGAATCCACAACTGTTAACTGAAAGAAAATCAGAAAAGAAAATTATTATAGTTTTTCTGATTTGAGAGGCGGGGACTCGAACCCGAGCAAGAAATGTAGAGCTCGCTTTGTCTATAAGCACCTGATCTGCTAGGCCACCAGCTCCTATTGACGCCGCGCGAGAAAAGCTTTATTATAAGCGAGATCTTGAAAACTTTTATGCCAAATATCTGAGTATGGGCAGCTAATTTTTTTGATCAGCTTAGTCGATTCTATAACTTCTCTAGTGTCTGGCGATTGGCGGTGGCAAGCCGGGGTACTTCCCTTGTCAGCTCAACCAAAGGAAATTTCCAATTTCAGCACTCATCCTTACCTGTAAAGCAGTCGTCCTTCCCTTCTGCTGCCTCCTTGGCACAATATTTGCATAGGGTGGTGGTTGGGGTGGTTGTTGATAAGCCTGGTATTGTTGCTGTTGAACGGGTGATTGATTATTGACTCCATTCACGACCGGTGGTGGAAGGACCGGCTAAAGAAAGGTGAATTTGGAAAATTCGAGTTTTAAACAAACCCCCGGCTGAATGTTTCCAATTGAGTGCATCCGGGAGTGGAATTGAGCTGTTCGGGCGTTGTACAATTGAGTCCGTAGTTCATCGATCTCTTGTCGTAACGCCTCACAATCTCGATTCATTCGCTCTTTCGTTCTCTCGGCCTAAATTTTGGACTCCTTGAATTCTAAATTTTCCACTTATAGATGATCTAAACCTAAAAGTTAACTAAAACTAAAAATAAAACATCTAAAACTCGATCTACTGCCGAGGCAGCAGCTCTCGAGGAGCCTAACCAGGGCATAGGTTCCCCGAGAAGGCAGCAGATCTTGGTCAGGAGTTGAGGTCAGGGTGATTCCAAGAAAGCTCAGGGTGACCCCCCCTGCGCTGCCGGGAAGTGCTTCAGAGGATTGAGAGGCTTGTGGGCTAGGAGCTAGAGCCGACAATGGCTTATTAAAGATCGTAGCCGACACATTTTCCTATTAAAGATCGTAGCTGGGGGTGACTTTTTTCGGAACTTTCACTTTTTCTGGGATAGCTTCTCATGCTGATCACGAATTTCCCGTTTTCAACCTAATTTTAAATGAAATATCGACTTTTTGACACTAAAAATAACTCAAAATAAGCGCTTTTTGCATTTAAATGCAAATATTTCATGCCTTTCTTGGGATTTTTTATTTCATGGCCTTAAAGAGGATTGTTGGGTTGGGCCAATTGATTAAGTCCCGTCAATTAACTTCAAGATAAAAGTTTAACCAAGTTTAAATGAAAAATACCAAAAATACCAAAAAAAAGCCTGAATTTTGGATTGATTGGATTCGAAACTTTCCACTTATACCGTAAACATTTTAAGAAAAGCTCCCTATAGGAGAGTCGCGTAGTCAAAGTTTTCCAGAAAGTACTCTCAAATAAACGCTCATATCTTGACAACAATACGTTTCTTTCTGTGCGTTTTGATATCGAATTAAAGTAGAGAAAATGGATCATTTTTTGACATATAACACGTATTTTTAGCATTAACCAGCGCTTAGAAAAAAAATGATTGAAAAGTGGCAAAAAGCCGAGTTTTAACCATTTTTCAGTCATCTTTTTCTAGGCGCTGGTTAACGCTAAAAATACGTGTTATATCTCAAAAAATCACCCATTTTCTCTACTTTAATTTGATACCCAAATGTGCAGAAAGAAATGTCTGGGCGCCAAGATATGAGCGGGGCTTTGTGTGTAAACTTAGACTATGCGATGCATGACTGAAAAGTAACTGGCTCAACGCTAGTCTCTCTGAAAACAGTTCACATTGTAGGCCAGATTTTGCAGCTATGGTTTAGCCGCAATTTGCGTATTGTGGTTTCAGCTTCATTCTATTGTTTAGACCAATCCCAGCTCACCAACCTGATCGAATAGCTTCTTGGTGTGCTCTAACTCTTGTGTTAAACGATTCTTCTCATCCAGCGCTTGCATTCGTTCTTTCAAATGAAGTTGCAGGCGATCATTTGATTCAGAGAGAAGCTAAAAAGAAAAGATATCATTTCAAAGGATTTTTGAATAAAAAAAACAGTTTTTTAAACGATTCTAAAGTATTAGGTGTGTGAAAAAGTAATCCACGTTTTTTATTTTTATCTGATGACCAAATAAGACGCTGTCTTCTTGAAAACCCTCGTTCAACCTTTTCAGAAATAGGCCTTACATTAAATTGTGCTGGGTCAACCGTAAGGAAACGCTTGAATGCCATGAATTTTATCAAAAAGTTGGACAAATGGATACCGCATGAACGATAGCGCGCGACCACATGTCTCTTTACAGACTCGACAAAAAATCCAGAGTGTTGGATGGGAGGTTTTACCACATCCACCTTATAGTCCAGACCTTTCTCCATCTGATTATTATTTATTTTTGTCTCTGCCTAACTTTTTGGCCAATAAATGGTTCAATTCCGAAGAAGATGTCAAAACCGAGGTCTTCTCTTCTTTTCTCATCTTTTCTTCGCCTCTAAGGACCAAGATTTTTATTATCGTGGAATGTCTTTACTTGTAGAACGTTGGCAAAAGGTTCTTCTTTCGAATTGTGATTACTTCGTTGAATAAAAATTATTTTAACGAAACTTATGGTCTTTTATATTTAAACGTTAAAAACGTGGATTACTTTTTCACACACCTAATAGCTATGTAAGAGATTGGTCAAATCGGTCAAATCCGATCAACCAACCACGATCAACAAACCGGATCGACTACCAATATCTAATTCTAGTTACAATTTTAATCTTACAATTGCTTATTATCTACCTTATCAACAGTGGATGACAATCGTTGATTGTGTTCTTCATTCATTCTCTCTCTTTGCACAGCTCTCTCCAATTCAGCGTTCTTCTCGTCGATTTGACGCTCCAAATGAGAAACTCTTTCTTCAGCAGAGAGTTGCTTCTGAAAAAAATAGCATTAGCAAAAATAGCATTAGCAAAAATAGCATTAGCAAAAACAGCACTAATAAACTTATAAAAAATGATTAATGATTTCTATAATCTGCTAACCTTTTCAGCTGCAGTCAAAGCTTGCATCCTTTGTTGCAATTCGGCTTCAACTGACGGCAAGCTTTCAGCTTTTTGAAGTGATTGAGCCAATTGCTTCTCGGCGAGCTCGAGTCTTTCTTGTAAAGAATGCACTTTTTCCTCATTTAGCCGCACAGCAGCATCTTTGTTGGCCAACTGAAATGGATTAAAGTTTATACGGTAAATACTGCAATAGTACCCCACCCCCCTCGTACAGTCGCGTAGTCGCAAAAGTTTTTTAGTATTTCATTTTTTTCAAAGCGCCCGTACTTTCAAAAAATGCGTCTTTGGTATCAAAAAATAGCCCTGAATTTCAGCTATTTTTTGATACCTAAGAGCGCATTGTAGCATAGACCAGTGTCGAGAAAAACTCGTTCAAAGCTAGACTACGCAACGCTCCGCACCGTCATTATGGGGGTGGGGTACTATTACAGTATTTACGGTAATTACATTTCAATAAAAGAAGATTTAGGAGAAGATCGCTTTCTAAGCTTGGGATAACTGGGAAATGAAGTTCTTCATCAATTTCTCCAACTTACTTGATGCTCCAACTTGTCATTGAGATCTCGTATGCAAGTGGCCTCTCGTTGAGCAGAGAGATATCTTTGTTCAAGCGTTTGTATTCGAGCCTCTTGCTCGTTTCGTTGAGCTTCCAACTGGAATTTATTATGTGAAAGTTTCAATTCTAATCTCGAACCTCTTGAAGTTGATTCGACAATCTTGAGCTCATTTCAGATGATGTGTGAATATCCTTTTGGGAATTCGAGAGTTGGGCTTCAAGCGCGGAATTTCTAAAAGAGTTGAAAACAGTATTAGAGTTGAAAACTGGTCTAATACTCTGTAATAAAGTAAAGAAATTAATTAAATAATTTGGAATCTAGGGGGAATTGTACCCTCGAAGTATATTATAAGTAAAAATATCGAAATTTTCATAATCCGGTGTTAGTTTTTTAAAAATAGCGTGTTTTTCGAGTCAAACTGTGCGTTTACAAGTAGAAGTGGAAGTAGAAGAAGTAGAAGAAGTAGAAGAAGTAGAAGAAGTAGAAGAAGTAGAAGAAGTAGAAGAAGTAGAAGAAGTAGAAGAAGTAGAAGAACTAGAAGAACTAGAAGAAATAAAAGAAATAGAAGAAGTAGAAGAACTAGAAGAAATAGAAGAACTAGAAGAACTAGAAGAAGTAGAAGAACTAGAAGAACTAGAAGAAATAGAAGAAATAGAAGAAATAGAAGAAGTAGAAGAAATAGAAGAAATAGAAGAAATAGAAGAAGTAGAAGAACTAGAAGAAGTAGAAGAACTAGAAGAAATAGAAGAACTAGAAGAACTAGAAGAAGAAGAAGAAAAGACGAGGAGGAATTGAATCTTCGACTCAACCTCGACCTTCTGCTTATCGGGAAATGCTCTACCATTGAGCTATTGACGCCTTCTTTCCCCAAGAAGAAACAAGAAGAAAGAAGAAAGAGAGGAAGAAGAAAGAGAGGGAAATAAGTCACTTTACACTCTTTAAAACAAACTTATACCTAAAAATATCAGGTTACAGTGTTCAAAACTTAAACTGATACCAAGCTGTTGATTCCAATTCCAATCCAATTCAACTCCAATTCAGGAGTTGAATTGGATGAAAAAATCAGGATATTGTAAGTAAAAGAAAATTTACAAACCTTGAATTCAATTCATTCACTTGTTTCAAAGCATTCGCCAACTCCATCTTCAGCTTTTCCAATGTCTCCGTGAGTTCAACGATTCTCGCCGCTGTCTCCCCATTCATCGCCTCACTGGCTTTGATTCCCTGCGCACGGGCTTGTGACTGTAATTGTTGGACTTGAATTTGAAGCAACAAGTACTCAAAAACGCTTTGCTTTGTTTTCTCACCTGTGCTTCAGCCAATTCGGCTTGTGTTCTCGCAAAATGCGATCGCAACGTCGTGTTCTCATCGCTTTTCGCGCTCAACTCCTCTTCCAAACAGGCCACTCGTTCCATCGCAACTTTTAAACGGTCTCGAACCTGGGAAATTTCACGTTTAACTTTTAGATTTTATATTATTTGATTGCTAAATTGTTTTACTTGTTTTTTTGAATTGATTTTAATCGTTAAGAGCTTTTTGTCTGCGAAATAAACTAGTAACTTGAGTTTTTATTGCAAAAAAACCAAACTATTATTCTAAGCGTAGAGAAATTGATTGAAAGCTTGACTATTCTAGCTTGACTAGCTTGACTAATTGTAAACAATAGATTCCTATTTGCCTACTATAAATACTGTAATAGTATCCCATCTCCCTGGTAGTGGAAAAAGTTTTTATTTAAATTTTTCAAAGTACTCCTTCTTCCAAAAAATCGTTTCAAAATATCAATTCTTTGTTATCAAAAAATACCCCTAAATCTCAACTATCTTTTGATACCTTTGCGCGTCTTATAGCTTAAGCCAGTATCGAGAAAAACTCGTTCAAAGCTAGACGACGCAAGACTCCGCACGATTATTATGAGGGTCGGGGACTATTACAGGATTTACGGTCGAAAACCCCATTCTCACCTTCCATATTTGAACTATTAATACCAAAAATACCAAGAAAATAGGTTCCATTTCGTTTTTCTTTCAATATAGCCAAAAAAACCCGTCAAACAAACCTTTTCATCGAGCGCTTTGTGGTGTTCAAATAGACTTTTCAGCGCTTTCAACACTTCAACCTCCGAAGAGACACCGGCCGGCGATTGGGTGTGCCTTTTGGTGACCGTTTGCCGAAGGGATCTAATCATTTGGCGTAAATGAGCCAACGCTTTTAAGTTTTAATTTACCGTTCATGTCTTGAAACGAGGCACTCAAGGTGTTCTAGCAAAAGTCTCGTGTTATTTCGCTCGGCTTTCAACTCGACGATTTCCTCGTCTTTTTCGAGCAGTTGCTCTCTCGTTTGCACAAGTTCTCGAGTCATTTGTTGGAGTTCCTAAAAGTTTTAATCATAATTAATGATAATCTTCAACTAGCACAAAGTCTGATCACTGTTCTATCAGTTTGATATAAACAAATCCACTTTAGCTGACTCTCTTTCTTACAAAATTTCTAGTTTTACACTTCAGGACATCAAAAATCTCTTTTTTAACAAAAATTTCTAGCTTTTCTAGGCTTTTAAATGATATAAAATAGAATTTGATTGGACCAGACAATCCTAAGAGAATCAAGAGCAAAAAATTCCCAAAAGTTTGAGCATACTGACATCTAAAAGAGCCAAAGAAAGCGAACGAGTGGTAGCATATATACCGAAGCGGTTTCTCAGACGACGAGCGATTACGCGGCCGCACAAAGAACCACATTTGCATAGAGACTTCGAATTTGCATAGCTGCGCGGCTTGGCGACTCGTTGATCCGAGGATCGAGGGTTCGACTCCCAGCAGCGATCTTTTGAACTTTTTTCTCCCAAAAAGATCTAAGTTTACGCCACCTAGGGCTATTTTACCTCTGCTGATCCCGGAAAACATGTTTTTAGCCTAGGGTTTTAACTGGAAAATTGACACTTTTTTTGGTCTGACTGAGCTCATTTAAATGCTTATAAAAATTTTAAAAAGGAACGAATCAACAAATGGCTTTCGCTACTGTGTTCCCATTGAATACAGCTTTCGAAGAAGACCAAACTCGTTAAGATTGGTTCAGTTTGAGACTATCTCCCAGCAAATCCGCCATTAGTTATTAGCCAGGCTAATAGTAGCTCTAAAAAAAAGTTATGAATCTTCAAAGCGCAGTTACTAATTCAGAAAGCGCAAAAGGAGCCAGATAAGAGCCCGAAAAGAGCCCGGAAAGAGCTAGAGCCAAAAACTCTACAATTTCGAACCGTGCTCAAAAGTTTCCGGCTTGAAAAAGGCGATTTCGGAGACTTCACTGACAAATCCGAGTTTCCATTGGGAAATCTCGATCCGAAACAAAAATTTGGGGATAAAGGCGGTGATAATAGGCATGGACGTTGTAGACTCATCGAATATATTAGAGGAAATAATTTAAAACTTATCAATTCTTTGGCCCACCACTTGGAGAGAACAAAGTTTTTGCTTTCCCCATCTCTTTTTTCACTTAGAAAGCACCCAATTCAGTTAGACACAATTACGCGTTTTTCCCAGCGGTACTTTTTCCCAGAGTTCTCAACAACTTTAAAGTGAAAAAACCTTTCTTTTAAGCTCTTTTCGTCTTTGACTACTCTTGAAATAAAGAACTTTTGGGATTTACTTGGACAACTGGATATTATTCTATAATATTTATACAATCATACATTCTACAATACTTAAATTGCTATTGTACTTAGATCTAAAGCTAAGGCTAAAGCTAAGGCTAAAGCTAAGGCTAAAGCTAAAGCTAAAGCTAAGGCTAAAGCTAAAGCTAAAGCTAAGGCTAAAGCGAAGGCTAAAGCGAAGGCTAAAGCTTATCAAACTCTTGTTTTTACTATTAGAAATTAACTTTGAGCCAAAAATAACAGCTTCTAGTGTACTTTTCTCAAAACAACAGCTTTCTGAGTGCAGAAACGAGCCACCTTGCACCAGAAACAAGCCATCTTTCAGCACAAAAGTACAAAAATGCTAATTTACTTTCGGAAACTCACCGATGGCAAGTGTTGGGTGTGAACCTCGAATTGTCGCCTCAACGAGTCTCGTTCTCTTTCAACCTCTCGTGTTCGAGCCTGAACTTGGCAATGTAGCAATTGAAATATGTTATCCCCAGAAGATTACTATCTCTTTACCATCACTTAGACTACAGTAATCCAGTTATCTAGTAGTTCGGGGGGAAGCATTTTGTAAACATCGATTTTTCAAACTTTTTACTTATTTTAAAAGCTTTTCCTAGCGTAATCAAATACGCTGAATCCATTAGAACTATTTTCAAACTATTCTGAATAAGTTTTATGCTAATTTAAGAAGCTTTTCAGAGCCTATAAGAGCCTATTTCACTGTGTTCAAGGTGCCGGACTCAATTAAGAAACTGAAACAGTTAGAAAAAGACTATTAAACGGAAAGAAACAGTTAAAAACAGTAAGGAACCGTTAGAAACCGTTAAAAACAGTAAGAAACAGTTAGAAACCGTTAGAAAACGACTATTAAAGCTTAAATAGATTCGAAATTAAGATTCTAGGGCACAAAAATCCCAGGAGTAAAAGAGCTAAATAAAGAAAGGGCTTTGAATTTGATTCTGATTGAAAACTCTAACTGAAGAGTAAGAAAATTGGTAACAATGACTAACTATTGGGTTTTTTAGTGATACCGTATTTCCTCTAATAAGCGCCCCCCCCTCGACCAGCTTTAGACGCCTAATTCTCAGTCCTGTTTTGAGATATTTTTATATTTATTACATCAAAAAATAGAAGACATTAAGGGCTATCTTTTGGTATATTAAACATAAAAATATCTCAAAATGGGGCTGAGAACGAGGCGTCTAAAGTTCCCTCGGCTAAAGTCCCCTCGATCAACTTTAAACGCCTCATTCTTAGTCCCATTTTATTTCTATATCCTATATTTCTATGTTTAATATACCAAAAGATAGCCCTTAATGTCTTCTATTTTTTGGTATATTAAACATAGAAATATCATAAAATGGGACTGAGAATGAGACGTCTAAAGTTGATCGAGGGGACTTTAGACGAGGGAACTTTAGACGCCCCATTCTCAGTCCCATTTTAAGATATTTTCATGTTTAATACACCAAAAAATAGAAGACATTAAGGGCTAGCTTTTGGTATATTAAACATAGAAATACCATAAAATAGGACTGAGAATGAGACGTCTAAAGTTGGAGGGGAAAGAGGAAATAGAGGAAATACAGTAAGTTAGATTCTTTACCTGCATCTCGTCGATCTGTCCTTTGTACTGCTCAAGTTGTTCTTGTAGTTTGTCCCGATCTTGTAACATGTTCACCATCAACTAAAAGAATTTATTGAAAAATCATTTAAATACAGTTACGGGTTGAATCAAGTTCCCATTATTATCCCTTTCCGGTTGATTTGTTTGCGTGATTTGATCTTTCGGATGAGGGGAATCTGTTCGGACACGCGCGGGATTTTTAGTGGTGTAGAAAGGGTGATTTGTTGAGAGAAATGGATTGAAAGCTGATAGCTTTTGAGTGACTTTTGTTGGGGACTTTTCAATTTTCGGGGATTTTTTTGGGGAATCTTTGAGCGCGAGTGCGGCTCTTCGTTTGGGTCCATGTGGCTTATTGCAGGCACACGCGAGGAACATTTGAAGATAAAATTGTAGAAAATATAGCTATAATATAGCTAACATCAAAGCAAATCAATACCAGGATACAAATTTAATATCTAGTGAAGTAGAAGAAGCCGAGAGCTTTAATTGCTCCTAACTTGTCACAGATTTGCCCCAATTCGAAGCCTTTTTCAATCCAAATATCAGGTACAATTCCAGAATAGAATAGATAAATTAAAGAATATATTCAATATGATAAGAAAGAATATATAGAACAATATGATAGGAGTTTTTAAGATAAGAAAAGCTTTAATGAGCTTGGCTTGGCTTGGCTTGGCTTGGCTTGGCTTGGCTAACCTTGGCTAACCTTGGCTTGGCTTGGCTAACCTTGGCTTGGTTTGGCTAACTTTGGCTTGGTTTGGCTAACCTTGGCTTGGCTTTGGCTAACCTTGGCTTGGCTTGGCTAACCTTGGCTAACCTTGGCTTGGCTTGGCTAACCTTGGCTTGGCTTGGCTAACCTTGGCTTGGTTTGGCTAACCTTGGCTTGGCTTGGCTTGGCTAACCTTGGCTAATCGCTTGGCTAATCAAATTTTTTCCTTTTTTAGATCAAATAGATCAGGAAATAGTCTAAGAATAGAATTTTTAGTGAAAGGTTTTTAGCTGAATATTTAAAAATTCTATCAAATAGCTTTTTTGGGGGGGAAACCCGACAAAAATGGGGCTTAACGTCGACGTTTTCTCAAATCGAGCGTGGAAGAAAATGCACTAAATGGGGAAACCTAATTGGACACACTGAAATGGACAGGAAAGCGAAAAAAAGAGATAGAGAAAGATTAAAGAAAACGGGGGGAAAAAGAGGAGACATTCGGAATCCGATATCAACCTTTAACCCTAAGCTGAACAAATTAAGGATGGAGGGGGTTTTGAAATGTTTTTATCGCGGGGAAGACTAGGGTTTTTAGGGTAACATAATTCGAATATCCCTTTCTCCTTACAAGATCACTTTCTTCGGAATGGTCAAGCTATATTCTGCTATGATTTACAGTCGACAGTTACCGTCGACAGTTACCGTCGACAGTTACCGTCGACCGTTACCGTGGACCGTTACAGTCAACTCTCGGAAAATTTCGATTTAACGATTCTGAAACGTGCCTCAAATCTCCTGTGTAGCCGCCCTGAATAGCCAACGATTGCGTTTGGCTATGCAGCTAAGCAGAAACCAAAAGCCTGTTTTCGTAGCATCGTTTTTGTTCAAAATCGTTGTATCGAGAGTCGTTGTATCAAGAGTCGTTAAATTGAAAGTCGACTGTAGATTAGCACTGTTTAACTCCCTCTGGAGTAGGGGAGATCAAGTGTGTCGTGGTATAAGTGGTGAGCACATTTGCCCGGTAAGTGAAAGGTCGCGGTTTCGAATCCCGGCGGCGCACGAGCTTTTTGAGGTGCCCTAGTTTCAACTTACTAACAAGGGGAATGATCCAAACTTGGGTTGACGTTTCAGAATAAACTCGAAATGCCCATATCTACCTCTTCAATGTTTGCATTGTGATGTTCATCGGAGTTGTGTGGCATTTCCACCGAGTCTTCACTAATCGTCGGCATCACATCGCACATCATTGTGGAAATATCTGGAAATATCGAATGTCTAGATATGTCGGATGTCTGTAAATCAATATAGAATTCTTCTTTCAGTTATAAACATGCTTATAAACATTATTTATAAGCATAAACATGAAAAACTTATTTCTAAGCAAAAAAAAATTTGTTTTTCTTAATTGTATCTGATTGTTTCTTGTTTAAAAATGAAACAAAACACTTTTTACGTTTAGTGAAGTGTAAAAATAGTTCAAAATAAAGCATAGAATGAGCTATTATTGATTGAAACTCTTTTTCTTAATCTTTTTTCATCTTTTCTTCTTTCACTAACCATTTTGCCAACTCATCTTCGCTCACCGCCAATCGGGCTTTTATTGAAATGGCTATCAGAGCAAATATATCATTCCTAACAAGTAAAAACAACTACCGAGCTTTTCCTGAAATTAAAAATTTTGTAAAAAGAAAAAAATTCGGAAATGAAAACCGAAAAAGTGTTGGAAATTTGATAGGGTGATAGAAAAAAAAACAGGGGAAAGGATGGAAAAGGTATTGAATGGAAAAGGTATTGAATAGAAAAAAGGATGAGGTGAAAAGAGAGTAATGAATTCCGTACACGGCAATCGACTGAAAAAAAAGCCGATAAAAAAGGCATTTTTGGAAATCTTATGGAAAGACACATTTAAATATAAGGTTTTTGAAGGATGGGTTGGTTTGAAGGTTTTGAAAAGAGGTACTGTAAAAACTGTAAAAGTACTGTAACTGTACTGTAAAATTAAAAAAACTTCTTTAAAATAAACATATATAAAGGGTAAAAATAGTCGAATTTTTAAAATTTGAGTTTTATTTTGCTCTATTTTGACGGATTTTATTATAAAAACACGTCTATTAATGTGAAAAGAACTCTCCAGTAAAGAACTCTCTAGTAAAGAACTTTCTAGTAAAGAACTCTCTAGTAAAGAACTCTCTAGTAAAGAACTTTCTAGTAAAGAACTCTCTAGTAAAGAACTTTCTAGTAAAGAACTTTCTAGTAAAGAACTATCTAGTAAAGAACTATCTAGTAAAGAACTTTCTAGTAAAGAACTATCTAGTAAAGAACTCTCCAGTAAAGAACTCTCTAGTAAAGAACTTTCTAGTAAAAAACTCTCCAGTAAAGAACTTTCCAGTAAAAAACTCTCCAGTAAAAAACTTTCCAACTATGCTCATAAATATTTTCAAATTAAACAAATTCAGTAAGTATTTCATTCTTTGAAAAGATTTCAGTTCTCTGTGTTCTGATTTTTAAAGACGGAAGGACGGAGGCATTTGAGAACAGGTGTCAAACTGTGTCTGAATGTAGAATATACCGTATTTTCTCTAATAGTAGTGCACCTTGAGCGTTGCTTAAATTGCTCGAAATCTCGAAAACCGCTTATCAGAACCTATCAATGTGGGGTCGGAAAATATAGCTGACGACGAGATCTAGTGGGGGATTTGAGCTTCTGCAAAAGCTTGAAAACCGTAAAATAGCCCCCAACTCGGCTCGCTGCGGTGCACTACTATTAGAGAGAATACACTAGTTGATTTCTGTTTTCTTTTCTTTAACACTGACTACTTAATAAGTCCTTTATTTTAAAATAACGAGTAATGCTGCTGTAGCTAGGCTAGATTTGCGTGCGTTCAATCTTTTGACGGAGTGGTCTAAGTTAGCAATAAATACTGATGCTGATAAAATTTGGCGAGACGCACTACTTGGATGACTATTTTCTCAGGGAATCCAGTGACCGTGTGGCCTAACGGATAAGGCGTCGGACTTCGGATCCGAAGATTGCAGGTTCGAATCCTGTCACGGTCGGAATGTTTTGCATTTAGACCAAATTATGGGATCTTGTGGGGGATTAAAGTGTTGAGTTTCTATGAAAACTTTGAAAGCCGTAAAATAGTCATTAACTCGGCTCGCCGGGGTGCACTACTATTAAAGAAAATACGGTAATGATAATTTAAACAAGGCAATGATTAAAATGACAAATTGATATTAGGTTTGGATGAAATAGAATAGAGATAACTTGAAATCTTATTTGTAATGATAGTAAGAATGAAAGAAATTTGCTAAAATTTGATTCAGAATGATTTTTACAGAGAAAAATGGTTAAATTGAAGTGTTTGAGAAATGAAAAACATTTGAATCAAAAACATTGCCATTTTGGAAAGGAAAACAACTCTTTTTGAACTTTTGACATGTTTTAACCCGAATGAAAAGTTTCAAGAAGTTCCTGGAATAGGAAGATCATAAAAAAAAAAATTTTTTTTTTTTTTTTTTTTTTTTTTTTTTTTTTTTTTTTTTTTTTTTTTTTATTTATTTTTTTTATTATTTAAAAAAATAATAAAAAAAAAAAAAAAAAAAAAAAAAAAAAAAAAAAAAAAAAAAAAAAAAAAAAAAAAAAAAATTATATTTTTTTTTTTTTATTTATTTAAAATTATTTTTTTAAAATAATTTAAAAAAAGAAAAATCCCTTTTTTAAAAAAATTTTGATGCTATTGGGAATATAGAAATTGTTTTAAATCATTTCCCATATTTATTTGTTAACTTAAGTGTTTTCTAAAGACTCCTATTTGTCCGTCATTTCACAGCCTTGTTTCTCTTTGGTCAAATTCGTTGTTGAGCTTTTTTTTTGAAAAGGATTGCCAAATATTTCCCAATAAATCAATTGTTAAATCAACTCCGTCAACTACTCAAATTGAATCATCACCATCAAGCAAATCAAGGAAACACATACGTAGATGTTACGTCCGATCTAGAGATCCGTCCGATCTAGAGATCCGTCCGATCTAGAGATCCGTCCGATCTAGAGATCCGTCCGATCTAGAGATCCGTCCGATCTAGAGATCCGTCCGATCTAGAGATCCGTCCGATCTAGAGATCCGTCCGATCTAGAGATCCGTCCGATCTAGAGATCCGTCCGATCTAGAGATCCGTCCGATCTAGAGATCCGTCCGATCTAGAGATCCGTCCGATCTAGAGATCCGTCCGATCTAGAGATCCGTCCGATCTAGAGATCCGTCCGATCTAGAGATCCGTCCGATCTAGAGATCCGTCCGATCTAGAGATCCGTCCGATCTAGAGATCCGTCCGATCTAGAGATCCGTCCGATCTAGAGATCCGTCCGATCTAGAGATCCGTCCGATCTAGAGATCCGTCCGATCTAGAGATCCGTCCGATCTAGAGATCCGTCCGATCTAGAGATCCGTCCGATCGTTAGAATGAAGTGCTGTTAGCCAAAATGCTGTTAGAATGAAGTGGGCAACGTCCGATCTAGAATCAAGCCGATCACTCTAAACCAGACGTCCGAACCAGACTTAGATTTAGAGTGATCGACTTCATTTTAGATCGAACATTTGACCTCACTTCACTCTGGATCGGACGTTTGTTCTAGAATCAATCTAGATCGAACGTAACATATACAAAAATGCATACGAGACTTCGTAACTTGCCTGGACGATGCGCTGGACTAATTTGATCTTTTGAGAGATGCAAAAGAATGAAAAATCTATTTACTAAAGCTAATTCTAGCTATAAAAAATATTCCTCCAATCTACTATATACAAAAAAAACGTCCGTCTGTACGTCCGTCTGTCCGTCCGTCTGTCACCCCTACGCGACAATACAAATTATGTTAACGTAAAATTACAACGAAGTGAGCTAGAAAGCTGAAAATTTATACTCGGGGGTTTTCGGAGACGAGGAATCCGAATCTGCGATCAGATTTGTGATAAGTGGCCTCAGTACCTCTAGGTAGAATATCCATGTGGACGCCCAGCATAGCTGGTCCTTCTACGTTTAGCTATCGCCTACCAAAATGTTCGTTGTCAATCAGTTATCGGTGTCTATCTCTTTCAAGAGTCAAGAGAATGTGCACTTTTTGACACCTGACTCTTTCTTCTTTCCTTTCTTTTCTTTCTTTTCTTCTACTCTGAAGGAAAGTATAAGAAAAGATGGATAAAGAGGCGAAATGCGGGTGAAAGACACGTGTGACATTCCGAGGCCCTCAATAACCACACCAGCACTATCACAATGAGTGAAACGGGAATGAGAAAGGAATGGGATAAAAGATTGAACAATGAAAAGTTCCTGTTCTCTATAAGTAGTCGAAAATTGTAGATTTGAGGAAACAAATTTTGGTTTAAAGTTTGGCTTTAAGCTTCTAGAAGAATTTTGAAAAGCTCTGAAAGCTCTGAAGCTCTGAAAATGCTAGAATTGTGATAATTTCACATAAAAATCACATAGGCAAGCATTATAAAGTCTAATACACTTAAAAATACCGCACTTTAAGCGTACGTAAAAAATTGAGCTTTCTTTTTGAAAGCCGGCACAACTAGAGGGAAGATAAAGGTAGCAAGAATGGTATTATGATTTTATATTGGTAAAAACGAGAACTAGATATTAATTTATGTCAAAACCAGTCGAGAAACTCGCTAAACAGGGGGTTTTTCTGGTTAGGCGATCTTTGTCATCGTGGCTTAGTCGAGAGCGCGCTGGTCTACGGCCCACACGATCCGGGTTCGACCCCCCGTAGTGCCACTCAATTTTGATTTTTTAGCTTTTTATTTGAAAAGGCACAACTAGATTATATTCTGAGGTTTTCTAAAGAAGTTTTAGATTTATTGGTCAAACAGACAGACAGACAGACAGACAGACAGACAGACAGACAGACAGACAGACAGACAGATAGACAGACAGACAGACAACTCGTTTATATACTAGATCCTTTCATATTTTTTTGTTTGTAACTTAGCAGAAGCTTATTTAATAGCATAATAGATCTAAATATATGATTTTATAATTACTATTGCCAGAAAAAAACGAATCAAGGGTCAATGGGAGAAGCGAGGAGTGAAGTAGATTTGCTAACAAAATTTGATGCCTCATTTATCGATAATTTATAAAAAATAACTTCCATGTTAAAGCAAAAATATTCAGCTAACCAGTAGCAAGTTTCGATGTCGATAACTCCAAAATCTAGAAGAAATCTATAAAGATTTCGATAATCAATTTGATGGGGCAGTATCTTTCTCAAAGCTCTCAAGGGTTAAGCGAATTTGCAGGCATGGCTCTCATGCAATAGCCATTGTCAGTAAAAAGAAAAAACCTATGGTTTAATCACTTAGCTTACTTACTTAACTATTTGTAGTTCAGTTGGTTCAGTGGTGGAATGCTTGCACGCGGGTGACCTGGGTTCGATTCCCGGACTGTGCACGGAGATTAGTCCTTTGGACTTTGTAGAGACTTTGTAGGACTTTGTAGAAATTAGTCCGATGTGTTGAACTTTTGTAGACAATGAAATAATATAGTTGACAATAAAATAGTATACCT